TTAAAAAGTGAGAAATATCAACATTTAAATAAGATACACTTCTAGCCCTCCTGCACAGGGATGCAGACAGGTGCATGGTTTACACACAAACGAGACCTATTATACCATAACAATACTTCAAAGTATAAAAAAAACATGTTCGGCTGGTGTAAATACATCGATATAAAAAACGTCATCTGATTTAGAATAACTACAGCCAGATGCACTAGGCGTTGCGCAGTAAGGGAATTGGTCCTGAAATGTGCATTCAGAGCGTAAAAGGTTTCAGAGAAAAGATTCTGAGTTTGAGTTGTTCATTAAAAGTCCTGCCGTTGAGAGGAAAGCTGGTGATTGTGAACTGTGTTCTGTGGTCGCACGCACACACACTCCACGCACGCACGCACACACACACACACACACACGCACGCACACACACTCAGCGCGGTAATGACATTGTAATAAACATTATTATTTCAGATTCATCAGTCAATGTAACAGTACAGAATACTCCATAAGGGAGTGCATGCATGTTAAGCTTCAGAAAAACCAACCTGAATATTACCTCCATAAACCTCATCCACACAGGGGACAACAACTAGAGTGGGTCACTTATACTGCGTTCATCTCCATGGCAACGTCAAGCTCTCCAAAAGCCCCTTTACCCATTCAGTCATGTTCACCATCAACTCACAAACCTCCTCCTGTGGGCTGGGTTGAATACTTCAGTTCAGTAAGTCCATGGGTGTGTGTCTGTGTCACTTCAAACAGAGGCGGGCTCAGAGTCCTTCTCTCTTCTCTCTCCAAATGCAAGCTATGCACTTTCCTTCTGCCCTGCCCACTAGGCAACAATGCGCCCCTGTCTGTCCCAGTTCGTGTCTTTGATCCGTGTCAATACCCACACGGAACAGATGATGATGTTTTTATACACACACCCTGCCCGAATAACCTAAACACATGTCGTTAATATTAGGCTATTCTTTCCAAAACGAGAGGATAGTTCAGCGCACATTTCACTCCCCAATAATCTGAAAGAACGTCTAAAGATTCTTCTTTAACACTCACTGGGCTTTAGTGTTGCGCAAGGCTTCTCTTCTTCTACTCGTGTTCTCTGTGTTTTCTCTCCTTTCCGCCGCTCAGTAAGTGAAGACGAGGTTGGAGATGGTGGATTCCAGCCAGTCTCCCGAGATCATCTCGCTGACCTCGGGGGTGCAGTAGTCGGGGAAGTCAAAGTGAGATCCCGCACCACACTCCCCGAAGCTCCAGTCCAGATCTCTGTCGAGCTCCGACTCACATGGCCCCATGCTGCCCAGAGACATGCTCTCAAACCCGGGGCTCGGCTGTAGCTCGAACCGCTCATCCTCCAGTTCTTCATCAGAGGAAGAAGAGAGAGAGGAGGAAGAGGAGTGAGAGGCGGACGGGGTTGGAGAGGACGCACGTGTGTACCTGAGGTGGGCTGCCAATGATGGTGAGGATGATGAAGGGTTGGAGGAATGCGCTTCGCTCGTCCCCGTCGCCTGGTCTTCATACAGGCTCATCGGGTCACTAGACTCAGACGAGCTGCTCAGGGCGGGACTGCCCGGGACTCCCACAGAGGGTGGCCCGCTGTCTAAGCTCCCTCCCCCGCTAAACATGAAGCCGCGCCTGGCTGGCTTTTCTGGTATCTGCCGGGCACCAGTCACTGACCTGGATTTGTAGAGCGTGTGGTGATCCGCGGGAGACGCACACTCCTGCCCCTGGGTAGGCAGCTTGGCGCTCCCCTGGCCCGGCTTGTGCGCTCTGCTGTTCCCCCTAGACCCAGAGCTTCTTTTCAAGGAGGACTTAGAACCCCCGCTCCTATCTGCGCTTTTCTCTCCCCTCTCTCCCCGCTCTGTCTTGGAGCTGGGCGTTTTAACCTTCTTCCGTGGCCGGTACTTGTAGTCAGGGTAGTCGGCCATGTGCTTGAGTCTCAGCCGCTCTGCTTCCCGGATGAACGGGATCTTATCTGTGTCTTTGAGCAGTTTCCAGCGCTTGCCCAGCCGCTTGGAGATCTCGGCGTTGTGCATGTCCGGGCTCTGCTCCATGATCTTTCTCCTCTCGATCTGAGACCACACCATAAATGCGTTCATCGGTCTCTTGATGTGTCCCGTGGGGGTTTTACACCAGGCGACGTTGCCTCGGTCCCCTCCCGTGGAGGATAGCGGAGACCCGGGAGTAGGAGACGCGTCCATCTCCAAGTCCATATCCCCGGTATCGGTGGAGTCCCCACCGGGAGAGAAGGGATCCGTGCTCTCTGCGTGGCTCGTGTGCTGTACCATTGTCTCTCGGTTAGACAGAAAACCTAATTTAAAAAAATGCTGTTCTGAATTATGTTGTTATGTTGTGAAAGTGCGTAAAAGTTGCCAGTGTTGTTATATCATCAGTTTTCTTTCAGTCTCTCAATAAACGTATGTTTATGTAACCACACGGACGGAATGCGTAAAAGTTATTGCAAGTCTTCCTCTGTCTTTCTGTTCAGTGCTCTGTCTGTTCAGTCCGTTTTGAAGACGCTGCGCACTTAGTCTCTAGGGCGCGTAAATCTTCCAAAAGAGAAACGAAATAACTCATTAAAATCTTCAACGTTCTGAACTCAAACGTTCAACTGCCAGTGCGACTGAAAACTCGCCCTGTGATACCTAGAGGACCTCGCTGCTGAAAACAACACTGTAACTTTCCTATGAGAGGTATAATATCGCTGTCTGCGCAGCTCGCCTTAGCAGTGAGAGAACCATGTGGAAGAATGGAAGTGTCGCACTTTTTCATAGTCCTCTCTTTCTTTATCGGTCTGTTAGTATACTGTAAACATAACGTTCAACGCCACACAGTTTTATATCCCCTTCGCGAGAAATAAAGGCTACACTAAACAGCCAATCACAGACTGTCTCTATCCTGTTTTTGTCCAAACCACGCCCAGTCCGCGTCCATTGGCTGAATAAACCGTGTAATAATAATCGGTGTGCAATGAGCATTCGTGTATCTGACCTCATTCCTGTCTGACGGAACCGAACTGAGAGTCCTTTCTCCACCGTCTTTCTCAATAATAAGACCCATGCTTAGAAGTAGAAATGCATTACTTCAATGCAATGTGGATAAGTGATTCTGGAATTAGATCTTGTATAATATGGATTATATAAACAAAAAGGAAAGTAAACTATTTCAGTAAATGTTATTAAATGACATGTTCTATTAAACCAAAGACAGCCATGACAGGGATCGACATACATAAGACAATAAACATTTATAAAATAAACATATTTTTGTTTACATAACCTATTATTAATTCAATCACATGAAGAGTAACCATTAGATAAATCATAAGAAAACCATCATATCCATATTCCACCAACATGTTTATTGTTGATCTAACAGCTATAGGTTATTGTTTGTGCGCGCCACGTTCCCTATAGTTTACAAGACCATGCGCTCATAGCGGAGCTGTTATGGTTCTGTCTCTCTCAGCTGCGCTCTGGTTGGTTCCGCGGCATCGCTAGATGTCAGCGTAGAGCCAGAGAGAAAGTGATTAATGTTTTCATCATAAGTGTGTGTGTGTGTGTGTGTGTGTGCATGTGTATGTGCGCCATACATAAATCAGACATTTGAATATCAATTACTTGTCATCCTGTCATCATCGCGATAAGTTTACAAGTTTGTTTTCCGTTCATCAAGGATATTTACACCCCTCCCCAAACACACATTTTTAGAAATTTTAAGCCGGTTTCCTTTAGATACTGTATTGTATTTATTTAAATACACAATCATAGCGTGTATTCCTGACTTAGTTACTCAGCAGGATAACTGAACTGGCATTAGTGATTGTCTTGTTTTCTCCAACACTACGCTGACCGCTCTGAAACAGGAGGTGACCCTTCAATGACACGCGCCTCTCCAGATAAATTAACTGGAAGCTTGAGCAAGCTTCTTCAATGACATGTATTGTACAATGATGACTTTAAATGATTTTAAACTCATAATTGACTGTGAGAACATCTGTTGATTCTGTCAAGCAGAGGACTCTTGTTGGAACCAACAATGGGACATTGATAAAGATCCATTCTTTAAATAACACATAACGCGCACGCGCACGCGCACCGACTCTTATGAAGTGGTTAACACACACACACACACACGCGCGCACACACACACACACACACACACACACACACACACACACACACACACACACACACACACACACACACCGACTCTTATGAAGTGGTTAACACACACACTGTTGGGTGTGTTTAAACAGATGTTTAATGTATCTGCAATCTTATCAGTCATCTAGCCTAGTGAGCAGGTGTTGTAGCATCCCAAATGACGCCCTATTCCGTATAAAGTCCAAATGCACACTGTGTTTCTGTTCAATCCTTCCTGTTTCCCTTCAGCTATGAAACCTGACCGCTATCTTACAATCAAAGGTTGGCCCACAGAATTAAATAGACACACACACACACGCGCGCGCACACACACACACACACAAATTCACGCGCACACACACACACACAGGCGCAATTGTGTAACACCAAGACCTCCCGGGTTATTCATCAAGCTTTATGGTGGGTTATTCATCAAGCTTTATGGTGGATTTATTCATCAAGCTTTACTGTGGGTTATTCATCAAGCTTTATGGTGGGTTATTCATCAAGCTTTACGGTGGGTTATTCATCAAGCTTTATGGTGGGTTATTCATCAAGCTTTATGGTGGGTTATTCAACAAGCTTTATGGTGGGTTATTCATCAAGCTTTATAGTGGGTTATTCATCAAGCTTTACTGTGGGTTATTCATCAAGCTTTACTGTGGGTTATTCATCAAGCTTTACTGTGGGTTATTCATCAAGCTTTATGGTGGGTTATTCAACAAGCTTCATGGTGGGTTATTCATCAAGCTTTATGGTGGGTTATTCAACAAGCTTTATGGTGGGTTATTCATCAAGCTTTATAGTGGGTTATTCATCAAGCTTTACTGTGGGTTATTCATCAAGCTTTACTGTGGGTTATTCATCAAGCTTTACTGTGGGTTATTCATCAAGCTTTATGGTGGGTTATTCATCAAGCTTTACTGTGGGTTATTCATCAAGCTTTATGGTGGGTTATTCATCAAGCTTTATGGTGGGTTATTTATCAAGCTTTACTGTGGGTTATTCATCAAGCTTTACGGTGGGTTATTCATCAAGCTTTACTGTGGGTTATTCATCAAGCTTTACGGTGGGTTATTCATCAAGCTTTATGGTGGGTTATTCATCAAGCTTTACTGTGGGTTATTCATCAAGCTTTATGGTGGGTTATTCATCAAGCTTTACGGTGGGTTATTCATCAAGCTTTATGGTGGGTTATTCATCAAGCTTTACTGTGGGTTATTCATCAAGCTTTACGGTGGGTTATTCATCAAGCTTTATGGTGGGTTATTTAACCAAGCTTTACTGTGGGTTATTCATCAAGCTTTATGGTGGGTTATTCATCAAGCTTTATGGTGGGTTATTCAACAAGCTTTATGGTGGGTTATTCATCAAGCTTTATAGTGGGTTATTCATCAAGCTTTACTGTGGGTTATTCATCAAGCTTTACTGTGGGTTATTCATCAAGCTTTACTGTGGGTTATTCATCAAGCTTTATGGTGGGTTATTCATCAAGCTTTACTGTGGGTTATTCATCAAGCTTTATGGTGGGTTATTCATCAAGCTTTATGGTGGGTTATTTATCAAGCTTTACTGTGGGTTATTCATCAAGCTTTACGGTGGGTTATTCATCAAGCTTTACTGTGGGTTATTCATCAAGCTTTACGGTGGGTTATTCATCAAGCTTTATGGTGGGTTATTCATCAAGCTTTACTGTGGGTTATTCATCAAGCTTTATGGTGGGTTATTCATCAAGCTTTACGGTGGGTTATTCATCAAGCTTTATGGTGGGTTATTCATCAAGCTTTACTGTGGGTTATTCATCAAGCTTTACGGTGGGTTATTCATCAAGCTTTATGGTGGGTTATTTAACCAAGCTTTACTGTGGGTTATTCATCAAGCTTTATGGTGGGTTATTCATCAAGCTTTATGGTGGGTTATTCAACAAGCTTTATGGTGGGTTATTCATCAAGCTTTATGGTGGGTTATTCATCAAGCTTTATGGTGGGTTATTCATCAAGCTTTACGGTGGGTTATTCAACAAGCTTTATGGTTGGTTATTCATCAAGCTTTAATGTGGGTTATTCATCAAGCTTTACGGTGGGTTATTCATCAAGCTTTACGGTGGGTTATTCAACAAGCTTTACGGTGGGTTATTCATCAATCTTTTTGGTGGGTTATTTATCAAGCTTCATGGTGGGTTATTCATCAAGCTTTATGGTGGGTTATTCAACAAGCTTAATGGTGGGTTATTCATCAAGCTTTATGGTGAGTTATTCAACAAGCTTTTTGGTGGGTTATTCAACAAGCTTTTTGGTGGGTTATTCAACAAGCTTTTTGGTGGGTTATTCAACAAGCTTCATGGTGGGTTATTCAACAATCTTTTTGGTGGGTTATTTATCAAGCTTCATGGTGGGTTATTCATCAAGCTTTATGGTGGATTATTCAACAAGCTTAATGGTGGGTTATTCATCAAGCTTTATGGTGAGTTATTCAACAAGCTTTTTGGTGGGTTATTCATCAATCTTTTTGGTGGGTTATTTATCAAGCTTCATGGTGGGTTATTCATCAAGCTTTATGGTGGGTTATTCAACAAGCTTAATGGTGGGTTATTCATCAAGCTTTATGGTGGGTTATTCATCAAGCTTCATGGTGGGTTATTCAACAAGCTTTATGGTGGGTTATTCAACAAGCTTTATGGTGGGTTATTCATCAAGCTTTACTGTGGGTTATTCATCAAGCTTTACGGTGGGTTATTCATCAAGCTTTACGGTGGGTTATTCATCAAGCTTTATGGTGGGTTATTCATCAAGCTTCATGGTGGGTTATTCATCAAGCTTTATGGTTGGTTATTCATCAAGCTTTACTGTGGGTTATTCATCAAGCTTAATGGTGGGTTATTCAACAAGCTTTATGGTGGGTTATTCATCAAGCTTTATGGTGGGTTATTCATCAAGCTTCATGGTGGGTTATTCAACAAGCTTTATGGTGGGTTATTCAACAAGCTTTATGGTGGGTTATTCATCAAGCTTTACTGTGGGTTATTCATCAAGCTTTACGGTGGGTTATTCATCAAGCTTTACGGTGGGTTATTCATCAAGCTTTATGGTGGGTTATTCATCAAGCTTTACTGTGGGTTATTCATCAAGCTTTACGGTGGGTTATTCATCAAGCTTTACGGTGGGTTATTCATCAAGTTTTATTGTGGGTTATTCAACAACATTTACAGCACCTGGTAAAATGACCACCTGGGTTCTGAAACCTGTTTGACAAATAATAGATTCTGTCTGCGTCCCAAATTACACCCTTTCCCCCATATAGTGCACAACTTCTGATCACGGCCCATAGGGAATGTAAGGAATAGGTTGCCATTTGGGACTCTATGTCTCATGCCTTTTACGTCGCCTGTTCAGGGTGATAGGAAGTGTACAGAGCATGTGTTGATTGTTTTGTTCTACCTTGCAGATGTGTTGTATCGGTTCAAGACTTTGGGCATTCACACAGACAATAAGCTTTATGAATGACTCCTACTGAACTAGAGTCCTAGGGTTTGTGCCAAATGGCACCCTATTCCCTATGGGTTCTGGTCAAAAGTAGTGCACTACATTGGGAATAGGGTGCCATTTGGGACTCAATCATACTATACAGTGGATTTACTTTGCTGTTATTCTCCATGAGTAGCCTACACAGCGAATCAGTTAACAACAGTCATCTCTATGCAGGGGTCGGTGCTCAACCGCATGATTTCCATGGACAGTTAGAGGCTTCCCTTTCGTCCTAACTGCAGAGGAATGGCACCGACAATTTGACTTAAGTTCATGCACAATGGGGCCTTTAAGTGTTTGTGTGCGTGTGTGTGTGTGTGTGTGTGTGTGTTTGTGTGTGTGTGTGTGTATGCCGTTAATGCAAATACTTTTCTTGTTTAACTAAGTGAAGGGGACTTTCCAACTGGTTCAAACTTGAAATCCTGGAAAAACTCAAACTGAGTTATAACAGGCTTGTTAGAATGACTCATTGCATGCAAACACACACACACACGTACACATACACATGCACACACACACATACACACACACGCACACACACACACACACACACACACACACACACACACACACACACTGACCAGTCTCTGTGCTCTGAGTCATAAGCAGACTGCATGTTCTGTCTACTGTATGTATGAAGGTGACAGACAGCACAGGTGGTCACTGTTATGATGAAAAGAGAGGGACAGCTGGTATGAAAACAGAAATATAGAACGCAGGGAGATCAGAGGGATATCAGAGGGAGAACATAGGGAGATCAGAGGGGAATCAGAGGGGAATCAGAGGGAGATCAGAGGGCGAGCAGAGGGAGGACAGAGGGAGAACATAGGGAGATCAGAGGGAGATCAGAGGGGAGGGAGATCAGAGGGAGATCATAGGAAGATCAGAGAGAGATCAGAGGGAGAACAGAGGGAGATCAGAGGGGAATCAGAGGGAGATCAGAGGGAGACCAAAGGGAGGACAGAGGGAGATCAGATGGAGAACAGAGGGAGATCAGAGGGAGATCAGAGGGTGATCAGAGGGAGATCAGAGGGGAATCAGAGGGAGATCAGAGGGAGAACAGAGGGAGATCAGAGGGAGATCAGAGGGAGATCAGATGGAGACCAGAACGAGATCAGAGGAGATACGATCCACTCAGGAAAAGTAATACAAGAGGAGAGATTACAGGTAAAACACAAATACATTCACATCATTCACAGATACTTGGAGTGGAGAGAGAGAGAGAGACAGAGAGACAGAGAGACAGAGAGAAAGAGAGCGAGAGAGAGAAAGAGACAGACATACTCAGGTGTGAAACAGGGAAGAGACTCAGGGGGTATGCTAATTTGGTATAGAGCAGACCTAACCCACTCTATTAAATTAGTCAAAACAGGAAAATGTTACGTCTGGCTAGAATTTAATAAGGAAATTATCTCAACAGAGAAAAATGTCCTCATGTGTGCTACATATATCCCCCCTCTAGAATCCCCATACTTTACAGATGACAGCTTCTCCATCCTAGAGGGGGAGATCAACCATTTCCAAGCCCAGGGACATGTACTAGTCTGTGGCGACATAAATGCTAGAAGTGGACAAGAACCTGACCCTCTTAGCACACAGGGGGACAAACACCTACCTGAAGATGACAGAATTCCCTCCCAAATATGCCCCCCTAGACACAACTATGACAAAATAACCTACAAAAATGGGTCACAGCTCTGTCGCACGCTGGCTCTGTACATAGTCAATGGTAGGCTTCGAGGGGACTCCTATGGTAGGTACACCTATAGCTCATCTTTTGGCAGTAGTACTGTAGACTACTTTATCACTGACCTCAACCTAGAGTATCTCAGAGCTTTCACAGTCAGCCAACTCACACCCCTATCAAATCACAGCAAAATCACAGTCTACTTGAACAGAGCAATACTCAACCATGAGGCATCAAAGCCAAAGGCCAATTGCATAATATTAAGAAATGCTATAGATGGAAGGAAAGTAGTGTAGAAACCTACCAAAAAACAATTAGGCAACAATAAAGTCAATCCCTTTTAGACTGAATTTCCTGGACAAAACGTTTCACTGTACTAGTGAAGGTGTAAACTTGGCAGTAAAAAAACCTAAACAGTATATATCTGACCTCTCAGCTTCCCTATCCAATTTTATTTAAAATCAAATCAAATCAAATCGTATTTGTCACATACACGTGTGTTAGCAGATGTTACAGCGGGTGTGGCGAAATGCTTGTGCTTCTAGCTTCGACAGTGCAGTTATATCTAACAAGTAAAATCTAACAATTTCACAACATATACCCAATATGTGAGGAATGGAATTTCAGAATATATACATATATGGACAAGCAATGACAGAGCGGCATGGACTAAGATACAGTAGCATATTATAGAATAGAATGCAGTATATACATATGAGATGAGTAGTGCAAGATATGTAAACATTATTAAAGTGACTAGTGTTCCATTTCTTAAAGTGGCCAGTGATTTCAAATAGGCAACAGCAGCCTCTAATGTGCTAGTGATGGCTATTTAACAGTCTGATGGCCTTGAGATAGAAGCTGTTTTTCAGTCTCTCTGTCCCAGCTTTGATGCACCTGTACTGACCTCGCCTTCTGGATGATAGCGGGGTGAGCAGGCAGTGGCTCGGGTGGTTGATGTCCTTGATTATATTTTTGGCCTTCCTGTGACATCGGGTGCTGTATGTGTCTTGGGCGGGTAGTTTGCCCCCGGTAATGTGTTCGGCACACTGCACCACCATCTGGAGAGCCCTGCGGTTGCGGGCGGTGCAGTTGCCGTACCAGGCGGTGATACAGCCTGACAGGATGCTCTCAATTGTGCATCTGTAAAAGTTTGTGAGGGATTTAGGTGCTAAGCCAAATTTCTTCAGGCTCCTGAGGTTGAAGAGGCTCTGTTGCGCCTTCTTCACCACACTGTCTGCGTGAGTGGACCATTTCAGTTTGTCAGTGATGTGTACGCCAAGGAACTTGAAGCTTTCCACCTTCTCCACTGCGGTCCCGTCGATGTGGATAGGGAGGTGCACCCTCTGCTGTTTCCTGAAGTCCACAATCATCTCCTTTGTTTTGTTGATGTTGAGTGAGAGGTTATTTTCCTGGCACCACACTCCCAGAGCCCTCACCTCCTCCCTGTAGGCGATATCATCATTGTTGGTAATCAAGCCTACTACTGTTGTGTCATCTGCAAACTTGATGATTGAGTTGGAGGCGTGCATGGCCACGCAGTCATGGGTGAACAGGGAGTACAGGAGGGGGCTGAGCACGCACCCTTGTGGGGCCCCAGTGTTGAGGATCAGCGAAGTGGAGATGTTGTTTCCTACCTTCATCACCTGGGGGCAGCTTTCTTGGGTACAGGAACAATGTTGGCCATCTTGAAGCATGTGGGAACAGCAGACTGGGAAAGGGAGAGATTGAATATGTCCGTAAACACACCAGCCAGCAGGTCTGCGCATGCTCTGAGGACGCGGCTAGGGATGCCGTCTGGGCTGGCAGCCTTGGGGGGGTTAACATGCTTAAATGTCTTAATACCGTCAGCCACAGAGAAGGAGAGGCCATAGTCCTTGGTAGTGGGCCTCGTCAGTGGCACTGTGTTATCCTCAAAGCGGGCAAAGAAGGTGTTTCGCTTGTCTGGAAGCGAGACGTCGGTGTCGGCGACATGGCTGGTTTTCCTTTTGTAGTCTGTGATTGTCTGTAGACCCTGCCACATACGTCTCGTGTATGAGCCATTGAATTGTGACTCCACTTTGTCTCTATACTGATGTTTTGTCCGTTTCATTGCCTGGCGGAGTGAGTAGCTACACAGTTTGTATTCTGCAATATTCCCATTCACCTTGCCATGGTTAAATGCAGTGGTTCGCGCTTTCAGTTTGCTGCCATCTATCCACGGTTTCTAGTTAGGGTAGGTTTAAATAGTCACAGTGGGCACAACATCACCTATACACTTCCTGATAAACTCAGTCACCGTTTCAGTGTATTCGTCTAGATTATTTTTGCAAGCTACCCAGAACATATCCCAGTCCGCATGATCAAAACAATCTTGAAGCGTGGATTCTGATTGGTCAGACCAGCGTTGAATAGTCCTTAGCACAGGTATTTCCTGTTTGAGTTCCTGCCTATAGGAAGGGAGGAGCAAAATGGAGTCATGGTCAGATTTGCCGAAAGGAGGGCGGGGGAGGGCCTTATAACCATCCCGGAAATTCGAATAGCAATGGTCAAGGATTTTAGCAGCGCCAGGGATAGGATAAAGTAATCCTTCCACCCCCCCTTACCCCACCCCAAATAAATAAAAAAATAAAAATAAAAATAATAAAATAATAAAAAATTAAATAAACAAATGAAGAGATAAAATAAAAATTAAATATTTAAAATAAATAATAATAAAAATTAAAAATTTAAATTTAAAAAAAAGGAAAAAAAGGAAATAAATTAAAAACAACAAAAATATGAAAAATATGAAGCAAAATAAAAATAAAATAATATTTAAAAATAATAAAATAAAATACAAAAATATAACATATTTACATTTACATTTTACTCATTTAGCAGACGCTCTTATCCAGAGCGACTTACAGTTAGTGAGTGCATACATTTATTGTAAAGTGGTTATCCTACTGGCTATGAGGTGAATGCACCAATTTGTAAGTCGCTCTGGATAATAAAAATAGAAAAATAAAAAGTAAAAAACAAAAGAGAAAAAAATAATTAAATTAAACAACAAAAATAAAAAATTAATAAATGGAACTAAAAAAAAGTCATACATTTATAAGAAAAAATATATATACACTGCTCAAAAAAATAAAGGGAACACTTAAACAACACATCCTAGATCTGAATGAATGAAATAATCTTATTAAATACTTTTTTCTTTACGTAGTTGAATGTGCTGACAACAAAATCACACAAAAATTATCAATGGAAATCAAATGTATCAACCCATGGAGGTCTGGATTTGGAGTCACCCTCAAAATTAAAGTGGAAAACCACACTACAGGCTGATCCAACTTTGATGTAATGTCCTTAAAACAAGTCAAAATGAGGCTCAGTAGTGTGTGTGGCCTCCACGTGCCTGTATGACATCCCTACAACGCCTGGGCATGCTCCTGATGAGGTGGCAGATGGTCTCCTGAGGGATCTCCTCCCAGACCTGGACTAAAGCATCCGCCAACTCCTGGACAGTCTGTGGTGCAACGTGGCGTTGGTGGATGGAGCGAGACATGATGTCCCAGATGTGCTCAATTGGATTCAGGTCTGGGGAACGGGCGGGCCAGTCCATAGCATCAATGCCTTCCTCTTGCAGGAACTGCTGACAGACTCCAGCCACATGAGGTCTAGCATTGTCTTGCATTAGGAGGAACCCAGGGCCAACCGCACCAGCATATGGTCTCACAAGGGGTCTGAGGATGTCATCTCGGTACCTAATGGCAGTCAGGCTACATCTGGCGAGCACATGGAGGGCTGTGTGGCCCCCCAAAGAAATGCCACCCCACACCATGACTGACCCACCGCCAAACCGGTCATGCTGGAGGATGTTGCAGGCAGCAGAACGTTCTCCACGGCGTCTCCAGACTCTGTCACGTCTGTCACATGTGCTCAGTGTGAACCTGCTTTCATCTGTGAAGAGCACAGGGCGCCAGTGGCGAATTTGCCAATCGTGGTGTTCTCTGGCAAATGCCAAACGTCCTGCACGGTGTTGGGCTGTAAGCACAACCCCCACCTGTGGACGTCGGGCCCTCATACCACCCTCATGGAGTCTGTTTCTGACCGTTTGAGCAGACACATGCACATTTGTGGCCTGCTGGAGGTCATTTTACAGGGCTCTGGCAGTTCTCCTCCTGCTCCTCCTTGCACAAAGGCGGAGGTAGCAGTCCTGCTGCTGGGTTGTTGCCCTCCTACGGCCTCCTCCACGTCTCCTGATGTACTGGCCTGTCTCCTGGTAGCGCCTCCATGCTCTGGACACTACGCTGACAGACACAGCAAACCTTCTTGCCACAGCTCGCATTGATGTGCCATCCTGGATGAGCTGCACTACCTGAGCCACTTGTGTGGGTTGTAGACTCTGTCTCATGCTACCACTAGAGTGAAAGCACCGCCAGCATTCAAAAGTGACCAAAACATCAGCCAGGAAGCATAGGAACTGAGAAGTGGTTTGTGGTCACCACCTGCAGAACCACTTCTTTATTGGGGGTGTCTTGCTAATTGCCTATAATTTCCACCTGTTGTCTATTCCATTTTCACAACAGCATGTGACATTTATTGACAATCAGTGTTGCTTCCTAAGTGGACAGTTTGATTTCACAGAAGTGTGATTGACTTGGAGTTACATTGTGTTGTTTAAGTGTTCCCTTTATTTTTTTGAGCAGTGTATATATAAAATAAAAAAGAACATATTGTAAAGTGGTTATCCCACTGGCTATGAGGTGAATGCACCAATTTGTAAGTCGCTCTGGATTAGAGCGTCTGCTAAATGACGTAAATGTAAAATGTAAATGTACAACAGTCGATATGTTGATAGAACTTCGGCAGCATAGTCCTCAAATTTGCTTTGTTAAAATACCCAGCTACAATAAATGCAGCCTCAGGATATGTGGTTTCCAGTTTGCATAAAGTCCAGTGAAGTTCTTTGAGGGCCGTCGTGGTATCGGCTTGAGGGGGGTATACACAGCCGTGACTATAACCGAATAAAATTCTCTTGGGAGATAATACGGTCGGAATTTGATTGTGAGGTATTCTAGGTCGGGTGAACAAAAGGACTCGAGTTCCTGTATGTTACTACAATTATACCATGAGTCGTTAATCATGAAACACACACCTCTGCCCTTCTGCTTCCCGGAGAGCTATTTACTCCTGTCTGCGCGATGAACTGAGAACCCATCTGGCCTGACCGATTTCGATAGAATATCCCAAGAGAGCCATGTTTCTGTGAAACAAAGTATGTTACATGCGTTGATGTCCCTCTGGAAAGAAATCCTTGCCCGGAGCTCGTCGAACTTGTTAACCAGAGACTGAACATTAGCGAGTAGTATACTTAGAAGCGTTGGGTGGTGTGCATGCCTCCTAAGTCGAACCAGCAGGCCACTCCGAGTGCCTCTCCTCCACCGGCGACGTTTTGGGTCAGCCAAGGGATCAATTCAGTTGCCATGGGGAGAGCAAACAAAGGATATGCTTCGGGAAAGTCTAATTCCTGGTCGTAATGCTGGTGAGTTACTGCCGCTCTGATATCTCCAATAGTTCTCCCCGGCTGTATGTAATGATACAAACACATTCTGAGCAAATGTACAAAATAATACATAAAAAAACAAAATACTGCAAAGTTTCCTAAGAGCTAGTCGTCGCCAGGTACAACCAGACAACCTACGAAAATTAACAACAGTGACAAATGGTTTGATGAAGAATGCAAAAACCTAACAAAGAAATTGAGAAACTTATCCAACCAAAAACATAGAGACCCAGAAAACCTGAGCCTACGCCTTCACTATGGTGAATCACTAAAACAATACAGAAATACACTACGGAAAAAGAAGGAACAGCACGTCAGAAATCAGCTCAATGTAATTGAAGAATCCATAGACTCTAACCACTTCTGGGAAAATTGGAAAACACTAAACAAACAACAACATGCAGAGTTATCTATCCAAAACGGAGATGTATGGATAAACTACTTCTCCAATCTTTTTGGCTCTATAACAAAGAACAAACAGCAAAAACATATACATGATCAAATACAAATCTTAGACTCAACTATTAAAGACTACAACAACCCAGTGGATTCTCCAATTACATTGAATGAACTACAGGACAAAATGCAAACCCTACAACCCAAAAAGGCCTGTTGTTTTGATGGTATCCTAAATGAAATGATAAAATATACAGAGCACATATACTTAAACTCTTTAACATCATCCTCAGCTCTGGCATCTTCCCCAATATTTGGAACCAAGGACTGATCACCCCAATCCACAAAGTGGAGACAAATTTGACCCCAATAACTACCGTTGGATATGCGTCAACAGCAACCTTGGGAAAATCCTCTGCATTATCATTAACAGCAGACTAGTACATTTCCTCAGTGAAAACAATGTACTGAGCAAATGTCAAATCGGTTTTTTACCAAATTACCATAAGACAGACCACGAATTCACCCTGCACACCTGAATTGACAAACAAACAAACCAAAACAAAGGCAAAGTCTTCTCATACTTTGTTGATTTCGAAAAGCTTTTGACTCAATATGGCATGAGGGTCTGCTATACAAATTGATGGAAAGTAGTGTTGGGGGAAAAACATACGACATTATAAAATCAATGTACACAAACAACAAGTGTGTGGTTAAAATTGGCATAAAACACACACATTTCTTTCCACAGGGCCGTGGGGTGAGACAAGGATGCAGGTTAAGTCCCCAGGTTAAGCCCCACCCTCTTCAACATATTTATCAACGAATTGGCGAGGGCACTAGAACAGTCTGCAGCACCAGGCCTCACCCTACTAGAATCTGAAGTCAAATGTCTACTGTTTGCTGATGATCTGGTACTTCTGTCCCCAAGCAAGGAGGGCATACAGCAGCACCTAGATCTTCTGCACAGATTCTGTCAGACCTGGGCCCTGACAGTAAATCTCAGTGAGACTAAAATAATTGTGTTCCAAAAAAGGTCCAGTTGCCAGGACCATGAATACAAATTCCATCTAGACACCGTTGCCCTAGAGCACACAAAAAACTATACATACCTCAGCCTAAACATTAGAGCCGCAGGTAACTTCCACAAACCTGTGAACGATCTGAGAGACAAGGCAAGAAGGGCCTTCTATGCCATCAAAATGAACATAAAATACTTGAATCATTGCCCTTTATGGTTGTGAGAACGGGTGTCCGCTCACCAACCAAGAATTCACAAAATGGGACAAACCTCAAATTGAGTCTGAATGCAGAATTCTGCAAAGATATCCTCAGTGTACAACATAAAACAGCAAATAATGCATGCAGAGCATAATTAGGCCGATCCCGCTGATTATCAAAAGCCAGAAAAGAGAGGTTAATTTCTACAACCACCTAAAAGGAAGCGATTCCCAAACATTCCATAACAAAGCCATCACCTACAGAGAAATTAACCTGAAGAAGAGTCCCCTAAGCAAGCTGTTCCTGGGGCTCTGTTTACAAACACAAACAGACCCCACAAAGCCCCAGGACAGCAACAAAATTAGACCCAACCAAATCATGAGAAAACAAAAATATAATTACTTGACACATTGGAAAGAATTTACAAAAAAACAGAGCAAACTAGAATGCTATTTGGCCCCAAAGAGAGAGTACACAGTGGCAGAATACCTGACCACTGTGACTCACCCATTAATTAAGGAAAGCTTTGACAATGTACAGACTCAGTGAGCATAGCCTTGCTGTTGAGAAAGGCTGCCGTAGGCAGACCTGGCTTTCAAGACAAGACAGGCTATGTGCACACTGCCCACAAAATGAGGTGGAAACTGAGCTGAACTTCGTAACTTCCTGCCAAATGTACAGTGCCTTGCAAAAGTATTCATCCCCCTTGCCGTTTTTCTTATTTTGTTGGATTACAACCTGTAATTTAAATGGATTTTTATTTGTATTTCATGCAATGGACATGCACAAAAAAGTTGAAATTGGTGAAGTGAAATGAAAATAATAACTCTCCAAACAGGTCAGGGACAAAGATTTGGAGAAGTACAGATCAGGGTTGGGTTATAAAAAAAATATCCGAAACTTTGAACATCCCACGGAGCACCATTAAATCCATTATTAAAGAAATGGAAAGAATATGGCAACACAACAAACCTGCCAAGAGAGGGCCGCCCACCAAAAGGAGGGCATTAATCAGAGAGGCAACAAAGATACCAAAGATAACCCTGAAGGAGCTGCAAAGCTCCACAGCGGAGATTGGAGTATCTGTCCATAGGACCACTTTAAGCCGTACACTCCACAGAGCTGGGCTTTATGGAAGAGTGGCCAGAAAAAAGCCATTGCTTTAAGAAAAATATAAGCAAACACGTTTGGTGTTCGCCAAAAGCCATGTGGGAGACTCCCCAAACATTTGGAAGAAGGTACTCTGGTCAGTTGAGACTAAAATTGAGCTTTTTGGCCATTAAGAAAAACGCTATGTCTGGCGCAAACCCAACACCTCTCATCACCCCAAGAACACCATCCCCACAGTGAAGCATGGCGGTGGCAGCATCATGTGTCGGGATGTTTTTCATCGGCAGGGACTGGGAAACTGGTCAGAATCTAAGGAATGATGGATGGCGCTAAATACAGGGAAATTCAGTCTTCCAGAGATTTGAGACTGGGACGGAGGTTTTGAAAACAAATCAAATTTTGATAAACTCCCATATCTATTGGGTGAAATACCACAGTGTGCCATCACTACAGCAATATTTGTGACCTGTTGCCACAAGAAAAGGGCAAACAGTGAAGAAAAAACACCATTGTAAATACAACCCATATGTATGTTCATTTGTTTTCCCTTTTGTAATTCAACTAGAGAGAGAGAGATAGAGAGTGAGAGAGAAAGAAAGAGTGAGAGAGATAGATAGATGGATAGATAGAGAGAGAAGAGAAGGGAGAGAGAGAGAGAGAGAGAGAGAGAGAGAGAGGAGCGAAAGAGAGAGAGAGGAGAGAGAGAGAGAGAGGAGAGAGGAGAGAGGAAAAAGGAAGGAGAGAGAGCTAAGAGAGAGAGAGAGCGAGAGAGAAGAGAGCGAGAGAGAGAGAGATAGAGAGAAGAGATCGAAGAGACCTCGAAGAGATATAGCGAGCTAGACAGAATCTAGAAGCACCCGCTAAGCGAGACAATAGAGAGATATAGCTCGCGCTCTCCGAGAGATCATCTATTCGATCTATAGCTTATATCTCTGCTCTAGCCGGAGAGATATAGACTCGAGCGCATCTCGCGATCTATCTCGCATCGTCTCGCCTCTCTATCTCTTCTCCCTCGCCTCTCTCGCTCCCTCGCTCGCTCTCTCTCCTCTCGCTCCTCTCTCGCTCGCCTCTTCTACGCTCGCCTTCCTCTTCTCTCTCGCTCGCTCTCTCGCTCTCTCTTCGCTCGCTCCTCGCTGCTCGCTCGCTCGCTCTCTGCGCGTCGCGCTCGCTCGCCGCGCGCGCGCTCGCCGCGCGCGCCGCGCGCGCGCGCCTCGCGCCCTCGCCGCACCGCGCGCGCGCGCTCGCGCCCCGCCCGCCGCCGCGCGCCGCCGCCGCGCGCCGCGCGCGCGCTCGCGCGCGCCGCGCGCTCGCTCGCGCGCGCGCGCGCCGCGCTCTCCGCTCGCGCGCGCGCGCGCGCTCGAGAGGAGAGAGATGAGAGAGAGAAAGGAAGGATAGAGAAGGAGGCTTCTCCTCTTCTTGAAAAGTCGATTGCATTTATTTTCCTCGTTTTCAGAGGAGCGGATGAAGTGGGTCGTCAGTTGTTGGAGGAGAGGCTGAAATGTGGTCATCAGTTGTTGGAGGAGAAGATGAAATGGGTCGTCAGTTGTTGGAGGAAAGGATGAAATGGGGTCGTCAGTTGTTAGAGGAAAGGATGAAATGGAGTCGTCAGTTGTTCGGAGGAGAAGATGAAATGGAGTCGCCAGTTGTTCGGAGGAGAATATGAAATGGAGTCGTTAGTTGTTCGGAGGAGAAGATGAAATGGGGTTGTCAGATCAACAAAGTTCCCCGAGTGGCGAGAGACGGTGTGGTCTGACAATATCGCTCTCTTGGAGATGACAAGGCAAGTCAGATGGTAGCTGTGTCATGGCGAGACATCTGCACACACACTCTAGCTGGAAAACACACACACACACACACACAGTAAGACAGAACTGGGTATCAGTCTGCTGCTGCAGGACTCAGATGTACAGCGGAAACGAGAGCACACACACACAGCGACACAGCTGCACTCTGTTTTCGTGGGCATCGTGGGAGAGGAGAACAGGATAAGGAGGAGAGAAGAGAAGAGGAGGATGAGCGTAGAGAAAAGTATTCTCGAAAAGTCGACTGCACCTCTTTTCTTCCCAGGAGGGGTAGATCGTTTTCGGAGAAGTGGTTGAAATGGGGTCGTCAGTTTTTTGGAGTCAGGGAATATTCTGCAGAGGAATAGGAGAAACAAAATAAAACGCATAAACTTTATCCTGCAGAGGAGAGGAACAGCAGAGGAGAGGAAAGGAGGAGGAGAGGAACAAAGAATTTGGGGAGTTAAGAGTTTTGAGCTGCGCCACATTCGTCTGTCTGTGGATCCATCACTGGCTGCAGAGGAGGGGAGAAACAGAGGGAGAGTAAAATATAGAAAGATAGAGAAAGTGGGGAGGAGAGAGAGAAGCGAGTTACTCAGATAAAAGAGGGAGGGATGAGAAGAAAGGAGAGAGAGAGGGAGAGAATTATGGCGAGAGAGAGGGAAATAGAGAGAGAGAGAGATAGAAAGAGAGTGATGGAGAGAGCTCTTCATCTGCCAAAAACCTCCAACATTTCTCTGTGGGGCACAGCGATTCTGGGTCGTCTGTAAACCTGCGTTTCTCTTTCTCTTCTCCCTCTCTCCTGCACTCAGACACACACAGAGATACATGTGGTATTTGGGGCGTCCGGTAACCCGGAACAACCCGGCCCCTCCAGGCTTTCCAGGCTGTGTCTGTCCTCGGCTAACCCAGGGAAGGTGTCCTGGGCAGGGGGTCAGAGGCAGGGGCGCTGTGGGTGGTGGAGAGAAGACACGGAGTGATCAGACAGCAGAGCAACACAGCAGACAGAGACCTACATCAGCACCCAACCTGGTCTCAGAGCATTTCATATTATTCTGTACGTCAATCTGAGACAATCCCTTCAGTATAGTATAGTACGGTATGGTATGTCTTCATTTGTGAATGTCCATCACCCATTTTGTATGATATGTTACGAATTACAATTCGTATTATATGACTTTGCAAAACGTACAATATGTTTAGAATTCGCAAATTGTACAATATGTTTAGAATTCGCAAAATGTACAATGTGTTTAGAATTTGCTAAACGTATGATATGTTACGAATTCTAGCTGGGTTGGTAGGTGGCTAACGTTAGCAAACTTGCTAACGTTAACTAGGCTAGTGGTTAGGGTCAGGGGTTTGTGTTAAGGTTAGGGTTAAGTTTAGGAGTTAGGTTAAATGGTTAAGGTTAGGATAAGGATTAACTAAAAGGGTTAAGGTTAGGGTTAGGGTTAGGGGAAGTGTTCGTTAACATGTTAAATAGTTGTAAAGTAGCTAAATAGTAGTAAATATTTGAAAAGTTGCTAATTAGCTAAAATGCTAAAGTTGTCCGTGATGAGATTTGAACTCGCAACTTTTGGGTTGATAGACATTCGTGTTATACGCCCACCCATCCACTCCGACCAACCAATGTCCTTTTGTTTTTGCCTTAAGTAACCATCTTTCTTATGTAACCATAGGAAACGTAACATCATACTAAATGGAGTGCCTCGGATTTACAGTATGTACAGAATGATACTAAATGCTCTGAGACCAGGTTGCAGCACCACACAGCAACATTCAGAGGAAGAGGGGAGAACGAGGGAAGGGAGTATAGGGTGGGAGAGGAAGAGGGGAGAACGAGGGAAGGGAGTACAGGGTGGGAGAGGAAGAGGAAGAGAGGAGAACAAGGGAGAGGAAGAGCAAAAGAGAGGATGGAAACCGAAAAGCTGATAGCGCTATACAGATGAGGTAGAGTCTAGACTTCAGAGGAGCCTCCACTGGTCTGGACATACTGTCAGTGTCGGGGAAGCTACTCTGAAAATAGAGTTTACCAAGCTACTAATTACTTGACACTGGAAGAAGTTAAGCTACACTGAAGCTACCCTTAAGAAACATATAGTTTACTTTACACATTCTGTTAAAATCTGTGCGTCCGTGTGTGTGTTTGTTTTAGTGTGTCTGTCTGCTCTGAGCCTCCACTGAGAGGAATGAATATAGAGAGAAAAGAAGAAAAGAGGGATAGGGTGATAAAGCAGTGAAGTAAGAGAATCATCCTCTCCTCTCCTCTCCTCTCCTCTCCTCTCCTCTCCTCTCCTCTCCTCTCCTCTCCTCTCCTCTCCTCTCCTCTCCTCTCCTCTCCTCTCCTCTCCTCTCCTCTCCTCTCCTCTCCTCCCCCTCTCTCCTTCCCTCCCCTCCCTCCCTCCCCTCCCCTCCCCTCCCCTCCCCTCCCCTCCCCTCCCCTCCCCTCCCATCCCCTCCCCTCTACTGTTTACCTCACTCTATCCAGTCCCCATGGACTCTAATCAGTAATCAATAACTTCCATCACACTGCTCCCATTGGTCTGTTATGATCATCCTTTCATCACACTGCTCCCATTGGTCTGTTATGATCATCCTTCCATCACTCACTGCTCCCATTGGTCTGTTATGATCAGACAACCTCAGTCTGCAACTCTACACACATCAGCGTTGTGATCAATTCCATTTAAATTCCAGTCAACTCAGAAAGTAAACCAAATTCCAATTCCAATTCCAAATGTTCCTAATTGAAAAACATTGGTGAGAATTGGAATTGGATTATCAGTGTACTTCCTGAATTGACTGGAAGTTCAATGGAATTGACCCTAACTCTGAAACACATTGGTCACAAGCCAACCATGGCCTGAACATCTCTATCCTTATCTAACAGCTGGCTGCTGCTTTTGGGTTATTGATGCAATGACTCAAACAGTAGAGTGAATCTGCTAATGTAGTGTGACTGGGCATGAACATAGTTCAGATCACAAAATGAGGAGCCATATTTATTTTATTTAAGGCAGTAAGGCAATTACCTAGTTTCCTAAGTGTTACTTCCAAGTGTCCTATTTCAAAAGCTCCTGTCATTATTAAAAACACATCTACAGTTGAAGTCGGAATGTTTACATACACTTAGGCTGGAGTCATTAAAACTCGTTTTTGCAACCACTCCACAAATTTCTTGTTAACAAACTATAGTTTTGGCAAGTCGGTTAGGACATCTACTTTGTGCATGACACAAGTAATTTTTCCAACAATTGTTTACAGACAGATTATTTCACTTAGAATTCACTGTATCACAATTCCAGTGGGTCAGAAGTTTACATACTCTAAGTTGACTGTGCCTTTAAACAGCTTGGGAAATTCCAGAAAATGATGTCATGGCTTTAATTGACATCATTTGAGTCAATTGGAGGTGTACCTGTGGATGTAATTCAAGGCCTACCTTCAAACTCAGTGCCTCTTTGCTTGACATCATGGGAAAATCAAAAGAAATCAGCCAAGACCTCAGAAAAAAATGTAGACCTCCACAAGTGTGGTTCATCCTTGGGAGCAATTTCCAAACGCCTGAAGGTACCACGTTCATCTGTACAAATAATAGTACGCAAGTATAAACACCATGGGACCACGCAGCCGTCATACCGCTCAGGAAGGAGACGCGTTCTGTCTCCTAGAGTTGAAATCAAATCAAATTGTATTTGCCACATGCGCCGAATACAACAGGTGTAGACATTACAGTGAAATGCTTACGTACAAGCCTTTAACCAACAATGCAAAGTAAAAAAAAGAAAAAAAAAGTGTTAAGCAAAAAAAACATGAGCAAATAACTAAAGAGCAGCAGTAAAATAAAATAACAGTAGGGAGGCTATATATACAGGGGGGTACCGGTGCAGAGTCAATGTGCGGGGGCACCGGCTAGTCAAGGTAATTGAGGTAATATGTACATGTGGTTAGAGTTAAAGTGACCATGCATAAATAATAAACAGAGTAGCAGCAGAGTAAAAAAGGGGGACGGGGTGTGGTGGGGGGGGGGTGGGGTGGGGTGGGGTGGGGTGGGGGGGCAGTGCAAATTGTCCGGGTAGCCATGATTAGCTGTTCAGGAGTCTTATGGCTTGGGGGTAAAAGCTGTTGAGAAGCCTTTTGGACCTAGACTTGGCGCTCTGGTACCGCTTACCATGCGGTAGCAGAGAGAACAGTCTATGACTAGGGTGGCTGGTGTCTTTGACAATTTTGAGGGCCTTCCTCTGACACCGCCTGGTATAGAGGTCCTGGATGGCAGGAAGCTTGGCCCCAGTGATGTACTGGGCCGTACGCACTACCCTCTGTAGTGCCTTGCGGTCGGAGGCCGAGCAGTTGCCATACCAGGTGGTGATGCAACCAGTCAGGATGCTCTCAATGGTGCAGCTGTATAACTTTTTGAGGATCTGAGGACCCATGCCAAATGTTTTCAGTCTCCTGAGGGGGAATAGGCTTTGTCATGCCCTGTTCACGATTGTCTTGGTGTGTTTGAACCATGATAGTTTGTTGGTGATGTGGACACCAAGGAACTTGAAGCTCTCAACCTGTTCCACTACAGCCCCGTCGATGAGAATGGGGGCATGCTCAGTCCTCTTTTTTTTCTTGTAGTCCACAATCGTCTCCTTTGTCTTGATCATGTTGAGGGAGAGGTTGTTGTCCTGGCACCACACGGCCAGGTCTCTGACCTCCTCCCTATAGGCTGTCTCAACGTTGTCGGTGATCAGGCCTACCACTGTTGTGTCGTCTGCAAACTTAATGAAGGTGTTGGAGTAGTGCCTGGCCATGCAGTCATGGGTAAACAGAGGGTACAGGAGGGGACTGAGCACGCACCCCTGAAGGGCCCCCGTGTTGAGGACCAGCGTGGCAGATGTGTTGTTACCTACCCTTACCACCTGGGGGCGGCCCGTCAGGAAGTCCAGGATCCAGTTGCAGAGGGAGGTGTTTAGTCCCAGGATCCTTAGCTTAGTGATGAGCTTTGAGGGCACTATGGTGTTGAACGCTGAGCTGTAGTCAATGAATAGCATTCTCACGTAGGTGTTCCTCTTGTCCAAGTGGGAAAGGGCAGTGTGGAGTGCAATAGAGATTGCATCATCTGTGGATCTGTTGGGGCGGTATGCAAATTGGAGTGGGTCTAGGGTTTCTGGGATAATGGTGTTGATGTGAGCCATGACCACCCTTTCAAAGCACTTCATGGCTACAGACGTGAGTGCTACGGGTCGATAGTCATTTAGGCAGGTAATCTTACTGTCCTTGGGCACAGGGACTATGGTGGTCTGCTTGAAACATGTTGGTATTACAGACTCAGTCAGGGACATATTGAAAATGTCAGTGAAGACACTTGCCAGTTGGTCAGCACATGCTCAGAGTACACGTCCTGGTAATCCATCTGACCCTGCGGCCTTGTGAATGTTGACCTGCTTAAAAGTCTTACTCACATCGGCTACGTAGAGCGTGATCATATAGTCATCCGGAACAGCTGGTGCTCTCATGCATGCTTCAGTGTTGCTTGCCTCGAAGCGAGCATAGAAGTGATTTAGCTCGTCTGGTAGGCTTGTGTCACTGGGCAGCTCGCGGCTGTGCTTCCCTTACATACTTTGGTGCGAAAAGTGCAAATCAATCCCTGAACAACAGCAAAGGACCTTGTGAAGATGCTGGAGGAAACAGGTACAAAAGTATCTATATCCACAGTAAAACGAGTCCTATATCGACATAACCTGAAAGGCCGCTCAGCAAGGAAGAAGTCACTGCTCCAAAACCGCCATTAAAAGCCAGACTACGGTTTGCAACTGCACATGGGGACAAAGATCATACTTTTTGGAGAAATGCCCTCTGGTCTGATGAAACAAAAATAGAACTTTTTGGCCATAATGACCATCGTTATGTTTGGACGAAAAATGGGAATGCTTGCAAGCCGAAGAACACCATCCCAACCGTGAAGCACGGGGGAGGCAGCATTATGCTG